GGAACCCACACTGACACAATATAACCAAACCAATCAACCAGCAGTTAAGGGGGAGGGATAGATCTGAGTCACATGAGGTAGAGGTTTGGGAGACAGGCTAGCTGACAAACGGGGGCCAGGTCCAGAGAGTTCTTGGCAGCTGTTTTATTTTTTTGCACGGAAGGATGAACCGATTCTCGGAATGAGGGTCCCTGGGAGTGTGGGTGGGGTGCGGTGAGATCCTCATTGGAGAGGACTTTGTCTCACAGAATCGCAATCCAGAAAGTTTGGTCTCCAACCTGGCACAATGAATGCCCAAATTCACACCATAGTACAGAGATGTGTTTCCAGGACCACTGGTTGAAATTAATTTAGCTGAGGCTGTACACATGTCAAGTTTTATCCATTCTTATCATTTGCACATCTGCTTCTATTGAAAACATAAGTCACACATGCTTGCACTGGTGGGGTGCCAGTCTATTTCAGTGGTCCCCACCTTTTCATCAGTCACAATCATGGCCATGTCAATACCCATAACACCTTTAAACTTTCAGGACCATCAAAATGTCACAAGGGCATATCACAGTGGCCCTGGGTGCAGCTGGAGACAGAACTGTCTAAAAGTCTTTGTGTTGATGAGGATAAGGAGGATGAGAAGGGGGGTTATCAGACACTCAATCTCTACTCTACAAGGTGAGAATGTCTGGACAAAGATTAGACTATATGCCCAGCTCCTTACCTTTATGGAAGCTGCCAAAGATGGAATTGAACTGATGGTCGTTCAGTGAATAGAATGATAGCTTGGGCAGATTTTAAGGGAAGGGGGCTGTTTGGAGTAGGACATTCATTTAGCAAGGTGATCATCAAAATCTTTTCATTATTCACAGATTTTGCACTTTCAGGTTTGGGAATTTGCTTTCCTAAAGATTTCCCTCAAATATGCTCCATCTCATCTCTCTTAGTGTTGGGCCCCCCCACCCCTCCACCACTACCTCTGCTTTATTCACAGGCTGGAGCGATAGCACAGTGGGTAGGGTGTTTGCCTTGCATGTGCCCACCCCAGGTTCAATTCCTCAATCCCTCTCGGAGAGCCTGGCAAGCTACTGAGAGTATCCTGCCCGCACAGCAGAGCCTGGCAAGATCCCCGTGGCGTATTTGATATGTCAAACACAGTAACAAGTCTCACAATAGAGGCATTACTGGTGCCCACTAGAGCAAATCGATGAACAACAAAAGGACAGTGCTACAGTGCTATGCTCCATCTCATCTCCTTTAGCGTCATGCCCCCCCCCACACCCCTCTGCTTTATTCACTTTATTCACGGCCAGGGAGGACCTAGAGAAAGCCACATCAACCCAGACTTCTCCACGACTCAGGCTGCAGGAAGATTCTGTTTCTAAAAACTCACCTTCACTTGTATCCCTAGAGTCAACCTGGGCTGGTCTCAAAGTCAGAGGTGCCCGCGCCCTCCTCTTTCAGAACTCTGCTCACAACAGTGCCTCTGTGTTATCAGGAACTGGAGGCACACCAAAAAAATATCAGACACGCAAGGAACTGAAAAGATGCTAATCTCATTTCTGCGCCTCCCCGTTTTGTGGCCGGACTAAAACACCCAAGGTATTGTTAACTAGCTAATTTTTATTTTCCAATCCTCCGCATTTAAAAGGATTAAACAGATGTATGCGTGTGAACTGGATGGATTGGGTTCTTTTTTGAGAAAACAGAAGGGCAATGTTTGTATTCAAATGTCAAGAGTCTGTCTGTGTGGATTTAGTGTTCTTTCCTTGCCATGAATAACATTCCTGTGGATAATTAATTCATCCATGTTCCTATCCGTATTACATTATTTCAGAACATAAAGGGGTGGAGAGAGGCGGGATGGGGGTGTTGGGGTAGAGCAATGCTGTGAGTTCTTTTGGAAAAGCTCTCTTAATTGGATTTACGTTCCTTTCTTAGCAAAGTGTCGGTTGCAGTTATCTGTCAAGTGCGAGGACAGCTGCAATGCTTGAGTGGGTGGGCCCAGAGCCAGCTGCATCGTCTACCCCGGGTGACTTGAGAATGCAATCGGTAGGCAGATGTGCACCCCTTGCCCCTCGCTCCAAATAAACAGTAGAGGCAGCTTCAATGACTATTTTCATGGACTCTCTTGTTATCCTCCAGCCAGGCAATGCTTGGTGGTATTTGCTGAACTCAGTACATAGTAGAAACCTATGGAATTGATGCTACTGGGTTGAACTTCCCTTATGGAAGAGATGATGTTTGTCCTCAATCAATGGTGTATCAGTCACGGGGAACCTCCCACAAGGAGGTCTTGGCCCCTGGTGGCATCCGGGGCAGGGAGGTCCTGAGGATGGGTTCCTTCTGGTCTCCCCCACAGAGCATGTGAGCAGGAGTAGGGGCAGGAAGGGAACAGTCAAGTTGTACCCTGAGGAATGAGAGATTTTTTTTATTGAATCACCTTGAGATACAGTTACAAAACTTTCATGTTTGAGTTTCAGTCATACAATGATTGAACATCCATCCCTCCACCAGTGCACATTCTCTACCACCAATGTACCCAGTATCTCCCCCTTCCCTTTCCAACCCTCCTCCTGCCTCTATGGCAGAAAATTTCCCCCAAATTCTCTCTCTACTTTTGGGCATTATGGTTTGCAATACAGATACTGAGAGATCATCATGTTTGGTCCTTTATCTTTCAGCACAGGGAGATGAGAGATTCTTAGAAAGAATGAGGTCAGGCTTTGGGTGTCACCTGTGTCACAGTGAGAGCTCACAGGAGGTGAAAATAAACCTGCCCCTGAGGAGTGGTGGAAGAAGGTAGAGATAGAGGAGGAGAGAGAAAGGGAGAAGGGAAAGAAGGAAGGAAAGAGAAGAGGTGGGCAGTGGGGGTGGGAGAGAACTCAGTTGCTTCACAGCTTATGCTGCTTTTTATTATAATTACTCAGGATCAATCCAGGTGATCAATCGCCATGAGAAGCGAGGCAGGAAATGCAGAAGAAGAAATATTTCAGGATCACCCGGTTACCAAAATATACCTTCTCAGTATCATACGCAACAGGAAATGACAAGAGTATCATCCTAATAAAGTGATCCCTGATGTGTGGGCTGGAGAGAAATAAGAAGCACACCTAGGACTTCACCTTTCCAGAAAGACTTGAAGACCCTGAGCCCACAGTTACTCAGGCGCGGGAGGGCAGCTTGGCCCCTGATGGGTCCTGGCTGATGGCCGTGGTTGAGGTCCAGGCCTATTTACCCTGCCAGTGGATTGTTACATCAGCTTCTCCCTTCAGCCCATCCCTGAAGCATTTCCTCTCTTCAGGGGGATCTTTGTGGGGAGGATGGAATCGGAAGTACAAACTGCACAGATGGGGCTGGAGACGAGGGAAGCCAAGGAATGTGCAGATAAAACTTAAGCATTTCTTCTTAACTATGGAAGCACATGAAATTGTCGCAAAGGACAAAAGAAAGGAAACCTGGAGGAGTTCAAATAAGAAAAATCTCATGGTGAGCCTTCCACTAACAAATGATAACGCAGGGAGTTTCCTGTCAGTCCTAAAACAAGCAGGTTTCACAATAGACGGCCTTGCATTTTTACACTTGCCTTTACAATATATGGATTATTTTCACACGTTTTCTGAAAGACACAACTCATACCCACTGAATAATAATGCAACCTACATCCCACCAGCGGATCACATAGCTAACTTGAAACATTTCCCATCCATTTATCCTAAGTGAAACTGTGAGAATCTTTCAGCACCTCAAGTTTGTTCATAGCTCAGATCCCCTACCCAGATGGGGCTGCACCAACCCCAAGTAAGGCTGTTGTAGGACTGTCCAAAGTCCAAAAGGTGCTTTGCCCACCTTGGCCACTGGGCCTTTAAAATTCCTGAACCATCAGACTCTGAGAGCCATGGCAGCTGCTGTAAATCTTTCTCCTCTCTCTCCTTTTTCCCTCCCTCCTTCCCCTCTTTCTCCCTCCCTTCCTTCCTTCCTACCTTCCTTCCTTCCTTCCTTCCGTCCTTCCTTTTCTTTCTCCCTCCCTCCCTCCCTCCTTCCTTCCTTCCTTCCTTCCTTCCTTTCTTTCTTTCTTTCTTTCTTTCTTTCTTTTCTTTCTTTCTTTCTTATGTCACTCTTTCTGTCTTTCTTTTCCTTTCTTTTGCTATACTCAAGATTTACTCCTGTCTCTGCACTCAGGGATCACACCTGGGTGGGATGCCAGGGATCTAACCCAGATCAGAGGCACTGTCATCTGTCTCTGCACCCAGCTGCTGCGAGTATCTTGAGAGACTTGGGTCTTGGTGCTCTTAACTCTGGGACCCACAGGCTGTTCCAAAGTCCTCTCTTTGCAGACTTTGGGGCTTAGAGAAGGATGCCAAGCTAAGGTGGCTCCCACTAACCTTGCCCGTGCCCCTGTCTGCTCTGCGGCTGCACCCAGCTCTGGGCGTGCAGACAGTCGGAGTAAGGAGACATTTGCCAGGCAAAGGAGGATGTGGATTTAGAAAAAAAAAGTGTGACGGTCGCGGGGAGTGGTTGCTGAGGTGTGTGAGAGGCCCTTTCTGGGTGCCCAACGAAGCTGAGAGTCCCCTGCTTTACCTTTTTTTCTAAACCAGACTCTCTCTTGTATCCTCGACTCCCGTAGGAAGGTCAGTTGGCCATCCGTGTGGTCCCTCTTCGATGGACCCTTTGGGCTGTTTGTCCGGTTTTTGGTTGGGGGCAGTGGTCGGCGATGCTCAGGGCTCACTCCTGGCAGCGCGCGGGGAGCTACAAGGGCATCGAACCCGCGTGGGCCAAGTGCAAGACAAGCGCTTGGCCCGCCGGCCTCTAGCTCCAGCCGCCCTGGGCCAGGCATGCCCGGGTCCGAGTGGGTGTGGGAGCCGGCCCGGGACCCCTGCGGACTCCTGAGCTGGGCGGGCGCCCGGAGCGGGGCTGGGCGGGGCTCGCCGGCTGCACCCAGGAAAGCTCCGCCCCGCAGCGCGGAGCGGTGGTGCCCGCGCGCTGCGCCTTGCCCTGCCCGGCCCTACCCTGCGCGCTGCCCGCCGGACACCGCTGGCTGTTGGGTCGGGTAAGTGCGGGGGGATCCCAGGGGTGCCGGGTCCAGCCAGGAGGGGGGATGTCCCTGCAGGGGGGCTCAGGGGACGCGCCCCATCCTTCTAGGGCCCAGCTGCAGAGGGGGCTCCGCCTGACTCCCCTTTCTCCCCGCCCTCCTCACCTCCTCCTTGGGGGCACTGCTAGGAAAGTCAAAACGCCGCCCCCGGGTTAGTAACCCCTGGCCGGGTGGTGGTAGATCGTCCGTTAGCCTGGACGTAAACCACATCAACCGTGGGCTTCCAAGATCCCCAGCTGGGCCCCCCGCCACCCACACAGCCAGCCTCAGAGGGAACTTTCCAAGAAAGGGGTTTGGAGTTTGGCATCTCCTTGGAAAGAGGCCTGGGGCACGGGGAATGGGATCTCCAGCCCAGGAATGGGGCTAGTGATGGGACTAGAAATGGGACTTGTAAGAATCCATGGACGGGGTCTATCTGTGCTTGTGCATGCCTGTGAGCCCTCCCTCATGGGCTCCGCAGCCCCTCATCCCGGACTGAGGTCAAGATTTCCAGCTCCATGAAGGAAGGGCCTTGCCAGGGAACTTGGCCTTCAGGGGGCTGTGTTATTTCACCCCCTCCAGCTAGCCCATCCAAGTGCATCTTAGCAGGGACCTCAAACCTTCTTGCTGTCTTGGGTCTTTTTCTGTTTGGGGTGCTTCATCCAAGGGGTGGGGAGATGGTCATCTCAGTTTCTCAAGAACATGGTCACGGGGCTGGGCAATAGCATAGCGGGTAGGGCATTTGCTTTGCACGTGGTGGACCCGGGATCAATTCCCAGCATCCCACGGGGTTCCCCGAGCACCGCCAAGAGTAATTCATGAGTGCAGAGCCAGGAGTAACGCCGGTGTGACACAAAAAGAAAAAATAAAATCAAGTACTTGGTCATGAGCAAGTGGACCGTTTCCAAGAGCAAGAGTTGGGCTGGAAGTCAGTGGGTTGGGGGAGCCGGTCCACTGAGGTCAGGCAGCTGGGGAGATGGCGCTGTGCCTTTCCCGGTCCTGTGGCCCTTGAGTGGGACATCTCTTTGTTCTCGCCTGCATGCACGCATGCCTGCCTCCTGTGAATATGCATTGTGCCTCTCCCATAAGCCAGGCACTGTTCTAGTCCCTGGCAAACAATGGGGAAACAACCTTTACAACGATCCCTACCTTCACAAGCTTGAATTTTGGTGGGGAAAACAATGAACAATGAAGATAATGAATAACGTAGCTTATTTATTATCCAAAGACATAACACAGAGTGTTGCGCTAGCAGGACTTTATCACACTCCTGTTAGCACTACCTGCACTTAGGTGATAAGCATTATTATGAAAATCAGGTAAGGGTTTCCAAGTGTTGGGGAAGAAAAAGGAGTGTTATACTTTTATTACCACCTACTAATGGACTGTAACATTTTAAGGAAAATGGCTGGGGTTGGAGCAATAACACACCAGGTAGGGTGTTTGCCTTGCACACCGCCGACCAGGGCGACCCGGGTTCGATTCCTCCGCCCCTCTTGGAGAGCCTGGCAAGATACCCAGAGTATCTTGCCCGCACGGAAAAGCCTGGCAAGCTACCCATGACGTATTTGATATGCCAGACACAATAACAAGTCTCACAATGGAGACGTTACTGGGCCTGCTCAAGCAAATCGATGAACAACAGGAGGACAGTGACAGTGACAGTGATGGTGGGCTGAAGATCGTGTTGAATTATATACAGCATATATGTGTGTGTATACAGCTTTTATTTATTTATTTATTTATTTTTTCTTTTTGGGTCACAACTGGCAATGCACAGGGGTTACTCCTGGCTCATGCACTCAGGAATTACCCCTCGCGGTGCCCAGGGGACCATATGGTATGCTGGGAATCGAACCCGGGTCAGCCACATTCAAGGCAAACACCCTACCCATTGTGCTATCACTCCAGTCCCATATTTTATTTATTTTTAAGTAATGTAGGAGTACTGCTATTTGTTCAGCCATTGATAAAGCTGATTGAATTGGGCATGAACTCCACGTTACTTTTTTATTTTGTTCTATCACTGTGAGATAGAGCTACAAAGTTTTCATGTTTGAGATTCAGCCGTACAATGATGGAACACCCATCCCTCCACCAGTGCACATTTTCCAGCACCGATCTCCCAAGTATCTCCCCTGCCCCCACATCCCAGTCCTCACGCTGCCTCTATAGCAGACAATTTCCTCAATACTCTCACTCTCTCATTTTGGGCATTATGTTTTGCTCGAATTTTCCCACCACAATTCAAGCCTACCTGCCAGGGGCAGACGCTAGATAATATATTTTCCATAGCTTATTTTGAATATCATGAGAGCTCGCGCAGTCACGATTGTAAATGTAAATTTCTAGATTGTAAATGGTTGGGTTCCAGAGACTTCTCGGTAGGGCACTAATACATTTTGGGATTCAACTGGGAATCTCTGGGCCAAGGCTATTGGTGCGCTAAGATGGCACCCAGAGGCAAATTGTGGGCATGACAGCCAGTCTTCTGGGCAGGTGGGGGCCCAGGGAGGAGCAGCCCAGGTCCTCCACGTGGCCTGGAGATTTACACATACAACTTTTAATAAATGAAAAAAATCATCATAGTCAAAGAAATCATTGAAATGATTTTATTCCATAATAACAGACTTGACTGGAGAGTTCCCAGCAGACTACTCACCATTTCCTTTCTAGTCTTTCCCTCTACAGTTCACTCGCTCTCAAGTTCACACAGTTGCCAATTTTTATCTGATATTTTGCATTCCTGTATAAATCATCAACCCCCTAAGGGATCTTCTGAACCAAACCATGTTGCACCTTCCTGAAGGAAATGCCCAGTTCAGACGATCCCACCCTAAGTTAGAGTCTAGGTGATGGAGCGGAGGCCAAAGGGTCAAGGAGGGAGGGACACAGATGCAGGCGTCACACAGAGGTAGAGGAACGAGCATGAGGAAGACCCATGACGTTGAGAGAGCTGCAAAAGCCAGAGACAATCTTCAACTCTCTCCTCACCCCTAACCCTGGGGTGCCAGGTAGGGGAGAGCTCCTTATTCCCAGCACTACCTGGGGAAATGGAAGCTCCCTGAGTTTATTTAAGGGGAGGAGGAACTGAGTTCCATTGCCAGCTGCCTTGCAGCCCAGGACCGTCTTTCCTCTGCATTTCGCCCTCAAGAGCTGAGTCTCTTTCCCCCTCTGGAGTTTGACCCTGTTTCCTCACCTCTTCCTGCTCTGTAGCTCCATCTCCACGCCCTAGAACTCTCTTGCTGGGACTTTCTTAGTGTGGAAGCTCGAGGTCTTTCTTGGGACTCCAGAGCCTCCCCACCGTAGGGGAGAGAGTCTCCCTTTCAGGTCTTGGTGGATAGTCTGTTCCTCCCAAGAACCTGGTACCCCTGAGAGTCCCCGACATAGAAGATAAAGGTCAACCCAGTTCACTTCCTGGGAGCTGTGTGAGGCTTCTGGGGCTCCTTTTCTGCTAAATTCTGGTAGTGAAGTCCCAGAATCTGGACTTAGTTTTTGTACCGAAATAAAAGCAAGGAATTGTCACTTCCAAGAAAAATTGGTGCCTAGAATTCTTAACTCAGAAAGAGCAAATTCACCTCAAAACTGAATTCTCCATCATTCTGCTTCCTGAAACCGTGGGCTGAATGATGCATTAAGATGAGCTGCTTTGGGAGTTTTTCAGACCAAGGCTGGTTTCTTGCTCCCTGGAAGAGTCAACTTGAGGGTTGGAGGTGGCCCGTGGTTTGTTTTGGGCCCATCAGGAGCTGGAACCCATATCCCCCCCACCTCCCTTTAAGAATTAACTAGGAATAATCTTTTTCTTAAAAACTTTCACACTTGTTGGGCTGGAGAGTTGATGGCACTGGGGTAAGGCTCTGGGCTTGCACGCAGCTGACCCCGATTTAATCCCCAGCACTGCAATGGTTTCCAGAGCATCCCCAGGAGTGAGCCCTGAGTACAGAGCAAGGAGAAATCCCTGAGCACTGTTGGGTGTGTGGCTCAGATCACCCTATTACCCCCCCCAAACAAAATTCACACCTGTTATTTGAAAGGGAGTTTGCAAACTTGACTTTCCTGATTCTCCGGCCAAGTTTGGCCAGGCCTCAGGTGCCCAATGGAGAATTTCTCTGGAAAGGTTTCTGTTTGCTTCCCGTGGCCTGAGAAAGTCCATTTGATTGTGAGTAACAAACCCTCCTGGAGAATTCACTTCCTTCCAATGTGAATAGACTCACCTCCTTCTAACGTGAGTTCACTAGAAGCTCACACCTGAGTCGGCGGCTACGCCTGACTCGGTGCTCACGGTGGTGCTGGTCACGAAATGCGGCCTCCTAAACTGAAGGCCCCTGCTCCAGCCCAGAGATAGCCATTTCTCCAGCCCCCAGGTTTTTTTTGAGCGGCCACACAGGGTGATACTCAGGGATTACTCCTGGTGGTGTGTGGGTGACCCTATGCAATGCAGAGAATTGAAGCCAGGTCAGCTGTGAGCAAGTCCCTTACTGGATGTACTGTCCCTCTGGCCCCATGGCTGTCTGTGAAGAAGCAGGAGTCAGTACATGTCAGAGTCCCGTGAGCAGGGGTGGAGGAACAGCAGTGCCAAACCCAGGCTAAGAGGGGCCCAGGATTCTGTGGCTGATCTGCAGAGCTCAGCCTGAGGTCAGATGCTGCCCCCACTGGCTTTCCTGCTGCCAGGGAGGTTCTGTGCCCCAGGAAGGCCTGGGGCGGGGTTTGCAGGAGAGGACTCAGGCTGAAGGGGGTGTGTGGAGGGAGGTCTGTCCTGCTCCTCAGCTCCCTAGTGCTTGAATAAGACACTTCAGGAGAGAGGGGGTAAGCTGGAAGAGCTGGGGCTGGCCACAGGTGGCCGGAACAGGACAGCCTGGCACCTTGAGCATGGATGGATAAGCTCGACAACAGAGGGGCATGAGGTGGGGGCACTCCCTGGGAAGAGAGGGAGGTGGGGTGAAAACCGAAGACACTTTCCCAAGTGATAGTCGGGGGCCGGAGCTATAGTCCAGTGGGTAGGGGGTTTGCACGTGGGTTTGTCTTGCAGAACTGGGTTCAATCCCCAGCATCCCATATGATTCCCTGAGCAATGCTAGGAGTGATTACCGAGTACAGAGCCAGGAGTAACACCTGAGCATTGTTTGGTGAGACCCAAAAGGTCAAACCAGTCCAAAAGAATCAAGCGATGGTTCTTTGGGGTGCCATATTCAGACGCCAAGGCCACATGCTATAGATAGAGCTGTAGGTGGGTCTCCCTTCACCTGAGATATTCAACATCGTGTGCATGTATGCGTGTGTGTGCATGTGTGTGTGTGTGTGCGTGTGTGTGTGTATATGTGTGTGTGTGTGTATTAGGTCCATGTGCCCCTATTCATTTCAGGTTGCATTTTTCTTCTAGAACATTCCCCCCTACCCTCCCAGAAGTGGCGCTCCTCCAAGAGAACTTGAGTCAGCCAAGGATGTTTCCACCCAACAGCACAGTCGTGTCCCCGTCGCTGACCAGCCTGTGGCCGGGAACAGGCCCGCCAGGTGGCCACACCTCGGCCCTGGCACGCAGGTCCCCCAGCCAAGGGGAGGGTGAGATGGAGGCGCTCTACATCCTCATGGTGCTGGGCTTCTTCGGCTTCTTCACGCTGGGCATCATGCTCAGCTACATCCGCTCCAAGAAGCTGGAGCACTCGCATGACCCCTTCAACGTCTACATCCAGTCTGACATCTGGCAGGAGAAGGACAAGGCCTATGTGCAGGCCCGGGTGCTGGAGAGCTGCAGGGCGAGTCTTGTCATCGAGAACCAGTCGGCCGTCGAGCAGCCGCACACGCACTTACCCGAGACGAAGGCCCTGTCCTGAGCCTACGGCTGCCCACGGCCACCCATGGCTGCCCATGGCCACCCACAGCTGCCCACGGCTTCCCCATGGCCACCCACGGCTACCCATGGGCGGCCAGTCTCACCCACCGGTCTGAGTTGGTTCTGTGCCCTGTCTGTTCTTTACTGTATGGATGCCAACAGGAGTTTTATTCTTTCTGTTTTTTTTCCAATTTGTGCAGGGCTACGATAAGAGGTGAGGGGATAAATCATGCTATAAAATCATGCAAATCACATTCTCTCTATACTAGCCCATCGTCTCCTCCCTCCACGTCCCTGCCTTGCTTGTCCCAGAAGCATCCCTGTCACGTCTTGTTGCCTCTGGGATAAGATTCAGGCTTCCCACACTCCCTTGCAGCTGGTAAGGTCCTGTGGCCGCGTCCTGACTTGTGGGACTAAGTTCCATGAGCTCCTTCAAAACCGGGAGTCTGAGTCCCCCGCTGAGCCTCCCCCGCCCCCACGCACCCAGGGTCTGGTTCCCTCGGCCAGCACTGGCCCTGGAGGACAGTATGTTCCTATGGAATGGGCAGCAAAGAACGTAGGCTGTGGAGCCACACCACGGGGCAGGCGTGCCCACCAGCTGTGATGCTTCAGGAGAGAGACTAGCCCCAGCCTTCCTGAGCTGCTCTTCTAGTGCTCCCTTTAAAGGAGGAGATTTGGGGCTGGAGCTATAGCATGGTGGGTGGACCATTTACCTTGAACGTGGCTCACCTAGGTTCGATTCCCAGCATCCCATACAGTCCTCTGAGCTAGGAGTAATTCCTGAGTGCAGAGCCAGAAGGAACTCCCGAGCATCGCCAGGTGTGATCCCCCCCCCCCCAAAAAAAAGGAGGAGCTTTGCTGGGCTGATGATGCATCCACTGCCCCCCACTCCTCGTGACTGAGAACCAAAGCATCCTCCTTCCTCTCCCGTCACGCACACATGCTCCCCCCGGTTACAGGGCAGCAACGTCTGCCCTTGTCACTGCGCCCTCTGCCCATGGCTTCATCATCTTCTTGCTTTCCACCCTGCGATCCTGCCCGTGCCCAGTCTTCACATGCCTCCCTGCAAATGCATTCACAGCGCCCCTGCACAGATGCATATGCACACACAGGCTTGCATCCATATGTATGATGTGAACATGCGGACACACCAAGGAATATGCACACAGACACTTAGATGCTCAGGTCCACACAGACGTAGAAACATAGATTCACATGTGCATAGATATGAACACACACTGACACCCATGAACATGGACACACTCAGATATGCGTGTGTGCAGAACCCACACGCAGTGATGTACAGACACACACATTGCACCCATGTGAACACAGAGACACACACTGATTCCCATGTGTACGCAGACACACAGAGATGAACGCGTGCACACAGACACATGATTTCCATGTGCACATACAGAGATGCACTGTGTACACACATGTACACAGACACACATAGATGTCTCAGTATGTGCCCGCACATATACATATATTTGCACGTGCACAGACATGCATGTGTGCATTCATGCATATGTACACACAGAGACTTGTGTGCTTAGGCACACACACACACACAGCAAAGCACGCTTCTGCCCCCCACACTCCACTCACCCCATGGAAGCCACTCGCTTCCCACAGCCCTAAGATGAGGGAGATGACAAGCCAGTCCCTTTGTCACGTGGCCCCAGAGGAAGCTGCTGATTTATCAGGGAGGCTGTGAGGGGGTGAGCCCAGCTGGGGAGTGCAGGGGAGGAGTGTGGGGTGCCTGGGAGCACATGGGGCAAGGCAACGAGGCCTCTTTTTTAAAAAAAAATTAATCACCATGAAATACAGTCACAAAACTTTCATGTTTGAGTTTCAGTCATACAATGATCGAACACCCATCCCTCCACCAGTGCACATTCTCCACCACCAATCTCCCCAGTATACACCCTCCCTTTCCCATCCTCCCCTTGCTTCCTGGGCAGACAATTTCCTCCATACTCTTTCCACTTTTGGGCATTATGGTTTGCAATACAGATACTGAGAGGCTATAGTGTTTGGCCCTTGATCTACTTTCAGCACACATCTCCCATCCTGAATGATCCCTCCAACCATCATTGACTTAGTGATCCTTGCTCTATCCCAGCTGCCTTCTCCCCCAGCTCATGAGAGAGGCTTCCAACCATGGAGCAATATTCCTGGCCCTGTCTCTACTGTTCTTGGGCATCAGTCTCATACTGTGTTATTTTATATTCCACAAATAAGCAACGGGGCCTTTGGAGGTCCTGAGCCCCTGTGGCTTGTGTCCCCCTAAGAACCTGCTCCACATCTTCCACTAGGAACCTGTGCTGAGCTCACGTGGGGTCAGGTCTCTGTGGAATCTGAGGGCGGGTGGGGACATCAATACCAAAGAACTGATGTTCCTATTAAAAAGGGGTCTAGCCAGAGCGATAGCACAGCAGGGAGGGCGTTTGCCTTGCATGTGGCCAACCTGAGTTCAATCCCTGGCATCCCATATGGTCCCCTGAGCACCGCCAGGAATAATTCCTGAGTGCAGAGCCAGGAGTAAGCAAGCCCTGTGCATCGCTGGGTGTGACCCAAAAAGCAGAAAAAAAAAGGGGGAGGTCTGGACAAACTTGAGGTGAGGTGAGCTGCTAACGATGGTCACTTCAGGGCTCCATCAGCCTTTCTTGCCCAGTAGGGCCAGTCCTTGAACGCGAGGACCCATAGATGTAGCACTGCTCCGGCCCTGTGCACTGAGACACCCAGCCCCACCCCAACACTGCTCACACCCATGTGGTCCCAGGAATCGAACCAGGCTGAGCACAAGCCAGGATTACCCATCCCCCAAAACCGTGGTTCCATCCCCTGGCCCGGAAGCCAAGTCGTCACTACAGCTTGAAAGAGATTGCCCCCGTCTGGCTCAGGATTGCCCTGCCCCCTGGGATGCCACTGGCACTTGTTAGTAGCCACAAGAGGTAGAAGGACATGGCAGAGAAAAATCTGGGGGGCAGTAGCACCAACTGGGCCTTGCAAGCAGGTTTCCCCGAGTGCAAAGCTCAGGGCTCCCTTGGACGCGGCCCTATCTTACATCACCTCGCAGACGGCTCCTGTCTGGCCCCCGATGAGGTGCAAACACCGACCCAGACGGAGGCTGATAACCAAAAGCCACTAGGGCTGGAGGGCAAAAGAAACGTCTGGGGCGCTAGGAACAGTGGGCTAAGGGCATAGGCTGGATGCAGAAGGCGAACACCAGTAGAAGTCAGGAGCCCTGCAGCAGTGATTCCCCCCCCCCCCCCTTGGAGAGCCGGCGCATCCCTCTCAAGGGTCCAGTGAAGTATTGAGGCGCTTTCCAAAAATACCATACCAAATCCGCATAAAGCAGGAACCTTGGGTGCGGCTGCCCCCTGCTGGTCACTAACCGCTACTTCTTGGTGCACGGGCTGTGCGGATTGCAAGCAGGCGGGTGCGCCCTTGGGGGCGGGGGGGGGGGGCGCTTCGGGGTTTAACACACTTCCCAGAAGACAAACTTCTACTCACTCGCCAAGAGCAGCAAGAATCTACGTGCAGACTCTGAGCGGGGAATCCTAGAGTTGGGCCAGAGCTTCTGGTCAGTTTCACGATCAATGAGGGGCCTTTTTCATTTGGGGGCAGGAAAAGAACGGCAAAGAGAAAGCAACTCAAGTGCCAGTCCTTAAGCAAGTGTCCAGGAGCAAGAGGAACGGAATACCCCTGTCCCCCAGGATTTTTCAGGTTCTGGGAGAAGCTGAGGGTCGACTTTGTCTTTAAAAAGGCCTTGGACACTCATTTGTGGATACACACACACACACACACACACACACACACATATATATATATATATATATATATATATATATATATATATATATGGGCTGGAGCGACAGCACAGCGGTAGGGCATTTGCCTTGCAAGTGGCCAACATGGCCGACCCGAGTTCGATTCTTCCGCCCCTCTCGGAGAGCCCGGCAAGCTACCAAGAGTATCTCTCCCGCAAGGCAAAGTCTGACAAACTCTCCTTGACGTATTCGATATGCCAAACACAGTAACAATTGTCATAATGGAGACGTTACTGGGCCCGCTCGAGCAAATTAATGAACAACGAGAGGACAGTGACAGTGATATGTGTATATATGGTTATATATGTATATATATATATATATAGAAAGAGAGAGAGAGAGAGAGAGAGAGAGAGAGAGAGAGAAGTGCCTGCCATGGAGGCAGGCTTCATTGGGGGGAGGGTGGCAGGAGGGATATGGGGAATATTGGTGGTGGAAAATGTACACGGATGGAGAGATGGGTGTTTGATCATTGTATGACTGAAATTCAATCATTAAAACTTTGTAACTGTATCTCATGGTGATTCAATAAAAAAATCATGGTGGGACTGGACTGGAGTGATAGCACAGTAGGGAGGGCATTCGCCTTGCATGTGGCCAACCCGGGTTCAATTCCCAGCATCCATTATGGTCCCCCGAGCACTGCAAGGAGTAATTCTTGGGTGCATGAGCCAGGAGTAACCCCAGAGCATCGCTGGATGCGACTCAAAAACAAACAAACAAACAAACAAATCATGGTTAAAAAAATAAAAAGAGGTTGGACAGGTAATAGAGGGGATTAGGCATTTGCCTTGCATGTCATCCATCGAGTTTGATCCCAGAACTTCAGAGGGTGCCCTGAGCACAGAGTCAGGAGTAAGCCCCCTGCACTGTCAGATGTGCTACCCCCTTCAAAAAAAAAAACTAAAAGAGAAAAAAAAAACATGTTCTGTCTAGCTAAATAAAAGGAGGCAGTCCATGGGTGCCTGGGCAGAAATGAGGCAAAGATGCATTTTCTCTGCACACTCATGCTTACAAGCCCTTGGGAGAAATCAGGTCAACAGTGCGTGGAGCTATGTAGCCAGAGGCGAGGGTGGCATTTAATAGCTGCACTTTGGGGGTTCTGTTTTGTTTGGGGGCCACACCGAGTGATGCTCAGGGTCAGCTCTGTGGTCGGGGATCGCTCCTGATGGTGCTTGGTGCTCCATAAGGGATGCCAATGATCAAACCCAGGTCCACAGCATGACCCCTACCCGCTGGACTCCTCTCTGGACCCCAAGGCTGCACCTTTCGAGCTGATGCCTTTATCAGAAACAGAAACAGAGACACAGAG